CATAGTTTCGGAAAGGAAATCAAAATAAAAACAAATAACAAACCTTATTTTTTAACTTACCTTTTTAATTCAGGTTCTAATGTCCGATTTGGGCACATAAACAAATGTCTAAATCCAGAAAGTGGTGAAACCGCAGCCTAAAATAAATGCAGTCTTCCACCGCCATTCTTTTCACCGGGGATTGTAGATGTATTAGATTCCCATTGATATGATTGATTGTTATTTTGTGTTGTATTGCTCCTAGTTCTAAATCCAGAAGAGAGGTTAGAACTTTCAGTATTTGTACTCGACGAAGGATTCATACTTGCAGATTTATTAGATTGAAAAAGGGTTAGAGATATTTCCAGTTGCTTTAAATGTAACCTGCTTTGATTTAGTTGCTTTAGAAGTACTGATAAGATTTTCACCAGAAATAGAGATAGTGGTAGTTCCCAACTTTCCAATAGTCGTTTGATTAAAGATATTTGAAGTATTTGGATTTGATTGATATTCTCTATGTCTAAAAGAGGATGAAATATTATGGAAACCTGTGGTCGAAGTATCAATTTCTAGACCTTTATCTTTTGACTGAGGATAAATTATCTCAGTTGTAGTTTCTACTGTATCATTATCAAAGCCTCCAAAAGTTGGACTATTGATTGGGGGATATTCAGAATTATCTGTTTCTACTCTTATTAAAGTTATAGGGACTATTAAGATATACTTGACCGTTGTCTGTTTTAATATTTGAATTATCTAAAGTTGCAGTTTCTTGGGAAGTAGTTTCAATAGTAGTAGACTGAGGTGATTGAGGTTGAAGTTGGCTAATTTCAGATCCTGTATCTGTGTTTGATGGTCTTTCAGGTGTTCTTTCTATACTAGTAGGAATATTCGAAGTATTTCTTCTTCTAGTAGGCTGCGCAGAAGATGTATAAGATTTTTTGTCTCTAAGTTGGTGTGTCTATTGAGATTGAGAACTATCTGACTTCTGACTAGTGTTATCTTTCTTTGGAGGAGCCACGTTTAATTCTTCTTGTAATGAATATTCATTGTAGATAATTGAAGACCATCACAAAGTATATCAAACTATTTATCAAGCATTTACTAATTACTTTAAAAACGTTTATTTTAAATGCTATTAACTATATCTCAATGGATCTTATATTTAATAAGCATTGATATTCTATTGCAATTAGCTAACATTATGTATTGTCTTAGTATTGGAATATAATATAATTTTAATACTTGTATAAAATGCTTGTTATGTATTTATGTATTGTAAATATTTGTAGCAAATTGTGCAAATTAAATAATTGTAATTCAAGTATACTATGACTATTAATATATTACAAAAGAGAAGCCATTTTGCCTATTTTATTTTAGACCCATTTTGAAAAACTTTGATAACGTTATCTGTTCGATTAAATATGATATCTTCTGTTTTATTATAAAAAACACTAAATATAATGATTAATAAACATGTTATGAAAGATAAAAGATAATACTTACAATTTCCTCACAACTTCTCGCGATCTGAAACCTGCATCTTTTCGAGAAAGTGATTAATTCATTCTATAATTTCACTTGGGACCATATTGATTCCTTTCGATGGATCTAGATAATTTAGAGTAACAGCCATTCCAAATGCAATGGAATTTTTCTCTGTATTTGGATTTGTAAAAACACGGTCGATTATCAGGTTAAGGTAAGTATAATGTGAATTATCATCAGGATCAATGGGTTTGTTTAGTTTCGTATAACATTCGCGAGTGATGCTGGCGTCTTTGAACTTCCACTCTTCATCACGTGTAACTTGCCGATTTTCCATTTTTGGCTTTACAAGATTTGGAAATTCAGTATGAATAGCATCCTTTACACATTGTACGATATTGCTTCACGCTTGATGTGAAAATCTTTGAGCCTGTTAAAAGAGTGAGTGAGATTAAATAATTTATTACAAACAACCATTAATATTTACTTACTAACGAACGAACATGTTTATTGAAGAAACGTCTCCATCCACCATGTTTTATCTTATTTTGAAATTCTTCTTCTCTTGCATCTGATAATGCATCATAATATACTTGCATAATACATTCATTATTTGGATATTTAACTTTTTCAATTGCAGTATAAATCACTTAACCAATTGCATCCTATTATGAAAGATTATACATGACTTAGTACAATTATAGGAAATAAGTAAAGGATAATTCAACACAACCCACATCAATCAATTTAGTGTCATTTTCTGTATGACTACCAAATCTAACGACTTTCCAATCTGTATACATTTCGTTGACCTTTTTCTGTATATCTTGAATCATCACAATCATTTGAGTCTGTACATCATACATACTACTAATTGTTGAAGCAAATCCTAGAAGAAATATGATTAATTTATATAAAATGATTGTAATTAGAAGCAATAAATGATCAATGAAATTAACTTACGAATCCTCTTTTACGTATCCATGTCTTCGTTTTCCATATCATTGATATTATTATCTTTTCGTTTACAATTAGAAATCACCATCTCGTTTTCTGAGGTAAAATCATCGACAAGAATCTCATCATCATTCGGAAGATGGCCTTCTAGATCAGGTAAAGCATCACCATCATCAAACATATCTAAATAGCTTTCTATACCTACACTTTTGGCAACCCGCTTATCTAAACCTATATTGATAGTAGAACTTCTTGTGACTCTTGAGGTATTTGGGGTGTTCATGATCTTCAGAGTACTCGATACATTTGAGACATTTTTTGGTTCCTCTAAAAGTTCAATATGAGGTAAAACATGCTGAGCACTTTTGCATGTTAAAGCGGATGATACTCATTTTTTAGCGCGACCCATATCTAAACAAGTCAATTTATAAGTATTTCTTTGAATATGTTTATTTGATTTTTATTATATGATAAGAAATGAAAAGGTTGAACAGAACGAATAATTAAAA